TTAATGAAATACTTTTTAAAAAATATATATTTTTGGTATCGCTATACTTTTAGAAAATAAAGGCTAGATTCCAGTCCTACCTTCGTGGCCGTCTGATCTTTGTTTTGTCAGCTCCACTGAGCAGGTTCCTGGAGAAAGAGCTCCCCAGCTTCCCGCCATTCGCTATCGCCTGGCTGATGCGGAAGTTCTCTTGTAGAACCCGGAAGTTCTCCAAGGGCCCCATCACGTGACTGAAGATCTGTGCCTGGCTGGAGGAGGACACGGGGGTGTCTGGGGACTGGCTGGCTTCCAGGTCACTGGTCGCTGATTCCGCGAGGCGGGAAAAGTCAAACCGTCGTTTGGGTGTCTGTCTCAGGTCCGGGGACGTGCCTGGCAGAAAAAAAGGACCGTTTTATTTTATTTTATTCATTTAATTAATTTATCTATTTCTGTCTTTCTTTCCTTTTAATTTTTTTTTTGGGGGGGGTTGTAAATGTTTTATGGCACTTGCAACACAATTAGGCCATATTAGGCCATAGATATATACGTGCCGAAGATTAGAGGTGTTACAAGAAAGTAATAAACACGAAAAAAAAAGGAGGAGAGATAAGGACTAAAGTTGATAGGAGGGAAAGAAGGAGCAAATCACAAGGCACCCACCAACCACCCACAAACAGGACATTAAAGTGAGTTTGTGGGCGATTGGCGGTTGTTCTGGTGTGGTTTACTCCTTCTGTCCCCTCAGGTATAATATTTCACCGCCCTATCTCTCCTCCATTTCTTTCTTTGTTTCTCACTCTCTTGTAATGTAACTCTTGTCTTCGGCACTTGAAGGAACTATCTGTGCTGAAGGTGCCTAAAACTTTCATTAAAACTAAGCTAAAACTAAAGTGGGCAAGTGGGTGGTTGGCGGGTGCTCTGGTGTGGTTTGCTTCTTTTTTTCCTATCAAACATCTATCGTCCTTATCTCCCCTTCTTCTTTTTTATGTTTGTTACTCTCTTGTAACACCTCTAATCCTCTGGCGCTCATATGACCTTATGCAGTTGCGAGCGCCGTAAAACCTCTACTAAAACAAAATACATGTACATGTATAACACTGAAATTGTTAACACTTGTCCATGTTGTTTGTCAGCCCTTACAAATTGTCTGGTTTGACACAAAAGCGCGGGTGGTTGGAGGGCGCCACTGGTACCTGTGACTTTTTTTTCCTTCCCTCAGCTGTTCCCTGTCTGTCATTCTTTTTCCTTTGCACTAGATGACTTCATTGTGTTAATATAATAATGTGCTTCTCTTTATTAAAAAACAAACAAACAACTACCCCCCCCAAAAAAACCCAACAACAACAACAACCCCAAACAACAACCACACATTAAAAAAAATAATTATAAAATAAACAAGACAAAAATGCAGCGCATGCGGGTTTTGGTGAGTTTTATTTTAATAACTTTTTTTTGGTTCGTTTGTTATGTTTTTGTTATTTCAGTGAGCGCAGACAGCATAATAATAATTCACACATTACTTCGCCCGGATTTACCAGCTGGTGGTGGGGTGAGTGGACACTCCTCTTGAAACCCATCTCACTCAGCGGATTATAACGGAAACGTAAAGTCTTTCTGCGGTTGCTGCTATCAAAACACGATCTTAACCCTGAGGGGCGGGGTCAGATTTTTATTCTTATTGTTTCGCACAAAGCTACTGTTATCTGCATTATGTAAACTTGTGTTTGATCGTTACCCCT